ACAGAAAATGAAACAGTTGATATTCCTTGTAGGGTAGCTTTTTTATTTAATTTAATTTTAGTGTTGTATTAGATCCAATATAAAATATACTTCTCTTGCGCAATGGTAAACATAAAAGTTTTGATTCCTTAAACTCAATTAATAATTAGAAATTATTTATCATTCCCCCACTAGTCTAATCAAAACTAATCAATATGATTCTTTTTGAAATAAAAATGTCCATGATGAACCATAAAATTAATTCATATTTTTTAAACAGTTTTAATTTGTAATTCGCAACTCAGTTACCATAAAAGAAATTGATTTTTCAAAAAAAATTGTAAATAATGTTTTTTTTTTAATCTGTAAACGAAAGATTATAATTATTAAGAATTTATACATAACTGTGAGAGTCAACATTCAATTCCTTGTATTGATTTATAATTTAATAATATCGACTTTTTGTCAAGAGTTGAAATTTTTGAACTGTAAATATTATTTTAATTAAAATTTGTATTGGTCTTATTCTTAATATTAGTCAAATAATAAAAAGAATGAAGTCACACCACTCCTTTATAAATGGAGCATAACAAAGATTATCATGAAAGAATCAGCTAAATTTTTCAAAAGGGGTGACATAAATTCAACCAAAATGCAAATGGAAATGATTATAGTAGGATATGGTTGGATTTTGGGGGTCATTTGATTTGCATTTATATTCTAAACTATATAATTATTTGCCTAAATTATGCAAAATGGCTTATAATTATCTCAAGGTCAGATGTCATTACATAATCATTCAGGTTGAATTCCATGAAACCATCAAAAGGTCACAATCACTTCCAACAAAGTTTTTCTTTTTGCTTTATTGAGTGATTCCCTCCTATTTATGGCCTTGTGATTCAAAACCAATTTTACAAAAATAAAGTTTTGTTAAATTATTTAACTCTCAGAATTTAAATAAATACCAATTTATGAAACAATATCAATTTTAAATAAAAATGAATATCATTGTTAAGTTATATAATTCTCATAATTAAATCAACAACTTCTTTTATTTTTAGAAAATAATACTAATATTTAGGGTTACATCAGAGCAAGCTGTCAGAGAATAATTAGGGACAAAATTTCATTTAATTTCATGAAAATTACTTGGAGATATCCCTATCAAATAATTAAAGTTGAAAACAATTAAGATTGAAAAAGAATGGTCATATAAACAGTAATCTGAGGGGCTGCAAAACTTGGTCCCTTCTCATGTATGAACAGTAATTGATTCATGATATTGTGAAAGTTATGGTTCATTCATATTTAACTGTTGCTTTCACCAACTATCAATAACTAATAGTAGTGAGGTTTGGTCCACACATTATGCTACCAATAATGGTAGCATTTTGTTGTTTATAAACATCATCCATTTCCAAGTTACTCTATCATTATTTGGTAACTGTCTAATCAATTTCAATGTACAAAGATAAATGATCATATCAATTGTGGGGTGTGTGAGAGAATAATGGTCAAATCCTTAATGAGATATTTAACTAAAATTTTTTCATCTTACATTTATTTTTTAGCCAATTAAATAATAAAATATTTTATATCATCATATAAGAATTGTTAAATCGTCACACAAAGTGTATGATCTAAGGTTTAATTTAATTTGTTTTACTTAGTAAAAAGATAAATTTTAAAGTTTTTAAAATACTATTTAATTAAGTAGGCTAAATTTAGGATTCAAAAAACCTATTAGTCTTATCAGATCGATTAAAAAATGTTTTCCAAAAAATAACAAAATAAAATTTTACTACAAAATGTTTCTTATTAAAAAATTTAATATTCTAAGTAATTCAATTGAAATTTATCTGTTTTAAATTTTATAAAATTATTCATTGTTAATTTTTTTTGGTTATTTTTAAAATTTAAAATTTTTCTTATAAAATTTAAAGTTTTAAAAATAAGGGACCAATTTGCAATTTTAAATGTTAAAGGGGGCAATTAATAAAAATTGAAAAATATTAAGGATCAATTTACAATTATTTAAATTTTAAAGATCAAGTTTAAAATTTTGAAAAATATGAGAACTATATTACAAATTTTGAAATAATAATAATTAACAATTTGACATTCTCACTATATTTTTTTTATTTTAGATATAATTTCAAAATTATTAAATTAAACTTGGACAAAATATTTCCTAAATTTCTATTACTTTAACAATTTTTCCTTTTTTTATACAAACAATAAATTTTATTCAAAATTTTTAAAATTTTTTTAAACATTACATTCAATCATTAAAATACTATACATATCTATGCTCTAAAAAATTATATTGCTGCTTGAGATAACCCTGGAAAAAGGACTATTAGTCATGATGATAATCTTAATTATCACATATCATCATCATAATAAATAATAGAATGAGGTCAATGTGTTGAACATATTTCAAAGATTAGTTATGCTAAATCTTGATATCTAACTTTCACTAAAGAAAATGAATTAAAGAATGGAGTGACATTCATTACATGCAAACATTAGTACAATCCATTGAGATCTTTAACTAGGAAGTGGTGCACTCTCTTTTTAATTTATTTTATTTTATTTTATGATTAAATAAGCAAAAGAAATTTGTTGGTGGCAATAGAGACATAAGTGGTTAGTGTGTGGAAGTATACACTCAAAATTATTAAATTTCATTTATCATTAACATAAAAAAATTAGTTCTTACTAAATTATCCTGCAATCAGTTTTAATCCTTAATGTTAAATTGTTAATCCAGCATAATATTTAAAACATTATAAAAAAATTATTCGCATGAATTTCAAATTTTATAAATATAAATTGTTAAATATAAATTTTTAAAAAGTTTAAAAATAATTTTAAAAGAGTAAGAAAAATACAGATCTAAAAATATGAGAGTGTGAAAAAAAATTAATGAACTTGAAACTCCACGTTTGGCTCATTTACATAATTTAGATCCAGTACAATATACCAATGGGCTTAACCCACTGAATTCCTGCCACCCCAAATTTTGCATGACAACCCCACTTCTCCTATGCTTTTACTCTAGAAATTTTTTTCATAAAAACAAACTTAAATTGTTACAAACGACTAATAAGAAAGAGAGAAAACATCAAATTTATTTAAAATTTAACTTATTTTTAAATTGAATTCATGAGTTGTTGTGATTATTAGGGATGAAAAAAATCTGTTCTCGTAGATAAAATTCGTCACGGATATAAAATAAATAGTTTAATAGATATCTACGAATAAAATAAATAAATATTTAAATACTAATTTATTAATGAATATGGGTAAAGGTTTAAGTATAATTAGTCTTTTAAAGCAAATCTTTCACATTTTATTTAAATTCAACTAACCATTTCATATTTAAATTTTTCATTATTTTATATTTTACTTCAATAATTTTATAGTTCAACCAACTAGTGTCGTCGTTTCTCTGACAAACCAGTGTCTCCCTTTCTATTCCTTTATCATTCGCTCTTCCATCGTAACTCACAATCACAATCTTTTATTTGTTTGATTAAAAATAAAATGTATGGATATTATATTTGGATCTAATTATGTTTTGGTGAATAAGAAGAAAATTAATGTGATAGAATTTTATTGTTAAATTAAGAGTGAATTGCATGGATGTTATGTGATGATAATTTTTTGTGTTTTTAAAAGAAGTTTTAAAAAAATTTAAAAAAAATAACTTTTATAAAAAATTATTTTCCATGAATATTTATAAATATCTGCATATATCGTAAAATCCGCGGATTACCCGCTTAACAGATATCCGCATGGATATGGAGCGGATATAGATATCATATTTATCATTGTTAAGTTATATAATTCTCATAATTAAATCAACAACTTATGTGGATATCATAGTATCCTTCCCCATAAATATCCATTTACATCCTTAGTGATTATGAAGAAGAGAGAATATTATATTTTTATTTTTTAACTAATTAAAAAAATACGATTGGTTGTTTGTAAAACTAAGTGTTATGTTTGTTTTCACCTAAGTTTTTTCCTTTACTTTAATATCTTGTGATTTTTGAAGTTTTCAAAAATTTGTGTTTGTTTTTCAGATATTTAAAACTTTTTTTGTTTTTATCAAACTTTTCAAGAATTTAACAAGATTTTATCGGATTTTTGGAAGATCTAGGAATTTTTATTGGATTTTTAAAGAAAAACATTGGATTAGTATTATTGAATTTTTTAAATATACTATCGAATTTTTCAAAAATCCTATGAATTTTTAACCGATGCACTACCGGATTTATTTTTATAAAAAGTATGAGTTTTTAATTGATTTTTCAAAAAGTCTATAAGTTTTTATCGAATTTTTCAAAAAATCAATAAGTTTTATAAAAAATTTCACAAAAAGTATGGTTTTTCCCAAATTTTTAAAAATTCTATGAGTTTTTATCCAATTCTTTTAAAAAGTATATGAATTTTTATCAGATTTTAAAAAAAAAAATACAAATTTTTATCCGATTTTTCAAAATACATTACCAGATTTTTCAAAATACTATGAATTTTTATTGGATATTTTAAAATAAACTAACGAATTTTTCAAATATATATATATATATATATATATATATATATATATATATATATATATATATATATATATATATATATATATATATATATATATATATATATATATATATATATATATATATATATATATATATATTTATAGATTTTTCGAAAAATTCAATTGTGTTAATTTCTATATTTTTCCTATCAAAATGAACTATCAGATTTAAAAAAAAAAATCAACAAAATTACAAAATATACCATATTTTTTGAGTTGCATTAAGGAATTTTTCATTACCTATTTTTTTTTTTTTTTTTATTTTGTGATTATGAAAATATGTGGGGTGTTAGGTAAAACTTAAGATAACATTAAGTAAGAAAGCTCCAATAATCCATGGGCTCAAGTGGGCTTTCTGTCCAAACAACAACTACTTGAAGCTTTCTTCCAATGGATTCTCCCAAACATGGCATCAGAACCAAACAAGAAGAGGAAAATCGATGAAGCACCATTTCTCGGGTAAACATCTCATATACACGAACCAACCCTATGATTTTTATCTTTGATTTCACTTCACAATCATATAACCTATCCCTAACTCTTTTGATTCAATATAGTGTTTGAAGTTTATTATTAAATTGAATAATAACGTTAATGTTTATGCGAATTTCTGCAAATGAATTCTCCATAGGGCTCGAGTTTCATCAAAAAATGGAAAGAATGCGATAACTGCAACAAATGCAAATCGATCTATGGTATTTTTTGTTGTTGTTAAATTTCACTTTAATCCCTAAATTTTAGGGTTGAGTGAAACATGAAATTTATATTGAATTTGAATGTATGTATTGGTCTGTGCAGGTTGCATCCCAAAGTAGTGGAATGAATGTTACAGTTTCACAGAACAAATATTTTGCGACATCACAAGCACAGCAAGAAGGTTGTACTGGAAATTATAAGATTTTTGATTCACCCTTTGGCAATTTTCTATTACCTGTAATTCCAACTCGTGCAGAACTATCCTAGTAATCACTATGCAGCAAAATGTTAAATTTTTTGTGGGAGAGTTTTATCATTATAAATACCATGCTGCAATGAGTCTTGTTTTCGTGGGTGGAAATAGAAAGTGCCCAGTTTCATTTAGTTGTTTATGTAGCACATCATTTTTTCTCTTAGTACATAGATTGCTAAAAAAATATTACAATAATTTCAACAAGGTTTAGGTTACAATATAAAAATTGCATTATATTATTTTATTTTTTATGTTTAGTCTTTATTACATATAATTATTTTGTAAAGGTTGTTAAAGTTTTTCTCGCTAACCAGCTCTTTTTCTTGGGCCGGTATATTCACTAAATGTACTATGAAAAATTTAGAGAATTTCTTAATGCACCATTTATATTTTTTAGGCACCACACGAAAATATATAAATGCTCTTAGATTTTAGAGAGCATATCCGGACGCACTAATTTAAAACACATATAACCTTACAATTTAAAACACATACAATGTAGCGGAGATGCATCTAGTGAATTTTACGAAGATCGTAACGTTTCAGAACAAAACTTTCATGTTATATTTTGTTTGTGTATTCAGATGCAGGTTTAAACTATATAATTGAAATGCAAATAATGGCATACATAAATTCAGATGGTACAAAAATGTCATATATAAATAAAAGACCAATAAATGTAAAAAAAATCGAGAACAATGATAAAGTAGCACGATGTCAAAATGAAATATAATCCATAGTACTAATACTATACACTAATACACTACTGTGTATATATGACTATATCTCCTCTGCCCCATCTACCTTCTCGTCCGTCAATCTCCCCCGTCCTCTGACGTTGTCTCTAATACATCAATGTCTCTCGTGCCTCCGTCATACTGGCATCTAAGATCTGCCTCACATTAGACCCATTAGGAAAGATACTTGTATCAATGCATGTCTGCGCAATCTCTACTATGCAACGACGTCTAAGAAAGGCATCCTTACCCATTAGGAAAGATACTTGTATCAATGCATGTCTACGCAATCTCTACTATGCAACGACATCTAGGCAAGACATCCTTAGCATGATTTGACTGTGCCTGCTCCTCCTCTAATTTTTCTTGATGAGCTGGCTTCAACGGATTTCCTAGAGCAGCATTTATCATGTACGAATGTGACACCCTAAAGAACCATCTGATATACCCTTCGACGTAGCTCCAATTTTTTTCACCTATGATACTTCGTGCCTCCTCTGGTACCAAATGACTCTCATAATCATCAAACATGTCATCTATCTGTCTACATGTCAAAGTAGGAGGAGTAAAGACAACAAAGTGTCTAGGAATGGTCTAAGTGTAGCCGAATTGATGCATGACGCTCTCAGGCAGATGAGGATCACTGAGACGTGATCCGTAGGCCAACCATCCAGAGTATATCACTATCTCGTCAAATAGTTGCGTCTTATGGTGATCAACACAGCTGCTGAAGTGCATGACCTCGACAACCAAATGACCAAGATAGACTCTAAAAGGATCGGTCACCTGGTTCTCTATGAGTGGGGAAAAGTAGTAGCACACGACATATCTTCAGTGTAAGTCGGAAACACTCACCCATCCGAAGATGCGTTGGAAGATCCAAGCCTGAAATGAGAAGTTTGGGACACACGAGTAATGGCTTTAGAAAGATGAAATGAAAATAACAAAGAAACATTAAAATACCATTAGTTATTACCGTTAGTAGTGTGATGCTACCTGTGACCTGCTTCGTCTTCCACATATAACCATTTCTCAACTTCGAGTACAGGTAGACCAAACAAGTGACCCCTCAGTTGCACTCATGGATTCGATCGAAATCCTCAAAATACCGTAGGTAAATGACATCTATATAAATGACACTCTTATCCATAAAAATTGCAGCGTCAACCAAATATAGCAGGTATGCTTTCATAACATGTGATATGTCGAGTGCCGCCTACTCATCGTCACCTGTAGTCTGTTGTGCTCTCAGGATCTCAGTCGCATATAATTTCTTCACGTATTCAAACCAAGCATGAGCACCCATGGTTTTATCCAACTCCTCCTTCGTCTCCCTTGGATCAGCCCCTTGATAATCTACCATCATCTCAAGTGTCTCGCCTTTGGTAATCCTCCCATGATCTAGAAGTCTCCCCTGATCAGAAGATGTAGTAAACACGAGACATCGTCGAGTGTGATAGACATATCACCATGCGGGAGATGAAATGACGAGGTTTCTAAGTGACATCTTTCCATGAATGCATTAAGCATCCTGTGGTTGACCGTAGTATAACCGATCATGCAAAAGTCCTTCAGTCCAGATAAGGACAAAAGTGCTTGAAACCAATCCTCATTCGGCTAAGGCAAGCCAGTAATATTTCGCATGTGGTTAATAAACTTTTGCGGATCACACTCCTAAAAAAATAAAACTTAATGTCAGAATTTGTCAATTAAAATTAACTAAAATAAAAAAGAATGAATCCAACTAATGCTACCTCTCTATCCCAGATATATCTGGCAGTATGGTCTGGATACTGAAGCAGTAATGACAAATCTACAAGGCCTCCTCCAAATGCCTCTAACTTAGCATCTGCAACAGCCTCACCCTCTAGAGGTGGCATTGGATCACCAACATCAACAGTAGAAGGTGGCACGGACTCAAAAGCATCTACAATATGAGGTGGCACTAGTGAGTCGGGTACCTCAGGCGCCAGAATAGGGGAAACCTGGTGCTTGCGGGAGAATGGAGGGAGTGATACGTCAGTATGTGAATCTTATCTCCTACATGAAGAAGAAGATGTAGTAGCATGAGGAGAAGCATAAGCTCTAGAAGTAGATGACTCTGTATTGCCAAAGGGACCAAGAGCCTCTGAAACCTGCTAACTCTTCTCCCGCCGCTGATGCTTGTTGTGCAACCCTCCATTCCTTCAATCTATCATGTTTATAAGCCATTATGCTTATAAGTTAAATTAAAGCAGACAATTAATGTATGCGAACAACACCATAAGGAAGAAAAAAATACTAAGAGAATTTCGGAGATGCATCTCCAAAATCTGGGAAACTAAAACGTTCAAAAATTTCGAAGATGCCTCTACGAAAATTTTTATAACTTAGTAGCTGCGTTAATGACGGTAATGTACCTTATGCAATCCCAAAAAAATATGCCTTAATCATCCTTTTCAGCCAAGAAACGTGTAATACAATATGTCTAAACTATCATACATGCAATTTATACTCATTTCTAACCTTAATCATCAATTTCTACTCATTTACACAAAAACTCAAAAACTTATCAAAAAATAAAAAAAAAAACTTATCAACTCTTAAAGAGTGCATTAAGAAATTCCCAAAATCTATTGAATACTTTTTTCTTCATTTTTGTCTTTTTCTGACCTCTCTCATGGAATCATGCTTTCGTTGCATAAATGTCAACATGATATCAACAAATAATAATTCTAATATTCTATCTTTTTTCCATTAATCTCATTTTTTTTGTGTGTTTCACTATCATCTCCATACCTTCAATCTCAGTATCTTCACCCACAAGTCTCACTTTTACTAGAGATTCAAGATTTTGCTCAGAACCATATCACCTTCTAAGATAAGTCATCATTATCATCTGCCACAAAATTTGTTTGTGGCTCATTCTTATTGGCCATCACAGATTCTCATTCTTACCTTCATCTATGACAACATCCAAACTGATTCTTAAACCTAGTACTGAAGAATCTCCACCGCTCATTCCACATGCAACCACCACACCACCTCAAATATTACTTCTTCCATTGTCACTAAACTACAAAATTTAACGGACCAAACGCAAAACCTTATTTTTCCGTATCAATATTTCATTCTTAACCCTTTTTCATGAACCCCAGTGATAACCATGGCCTAGCCCTTGTTTCTCCTTGTTTGTCGTATACAAATTATCATTGTTGGTCCAAATATGTTAAGGTCATTCTTGTATCCAAAAATAGATTAGTGTTCATAGGTGGAACCCTATTGCGTCATTTTGTTTATGATTGAAATCAAGTTGCATGGGATCACTGCAAAACTATGGTCATCCCCTAGCTAACTAACTCCATAGAACAAGAGATTTCTGATAGTGCTTTATGGATGGACACATGTTTCAAAATATGGGAAGAACTTCGTGAAAGGTACCACCAAGGTGATTTCTTTTGCATCTCAGATCTCCAAGAAGAGCTCTACTTTCTCAGACAACGAGAATCCAATATCACTTTGTACTTATCTTCTCTAAAGAAGCTTTGGCAAGAATATGATAATTATAGGTCTTTTGCTTAATGCACATGCACCATATCTTATAACTGCCACTCATTCCTACCATCAAAGCATACAGAGAGAGTGGCTACATCATCGAGTTTCTATAATTGTTGAATGAACAATATGCCATTGTTAGGTCCCAAAGTATGCTCATGCAATCTCTACCTTCCATCAATAAGGGTTTTCATTACTTATCCAGCAAGAAAGACAACAACACGAAAATCTTGAGGGTGACAAAATTGTTACTAACGTCAATAAAATTTGATCTAACTCCAAGAAAATATGCAGTAGGAAAAGGACGGGGGATAAAGATTTGCTCCTACTGCAACAAGCCTAGTTACACCATAAAGGTATGCTAATCAATGTATTTTAATGCACCCTCGACAATTATATGGTTACTCTTGTTATTTGTATTCTTTTTAGTATGTTTTCTAAGTTTTGTTTAATTTTGCTTTTATATTAGTTATGTTACTTATTTTTTGAATAAGTCGTAATATGACCATTTCTCATGTGCAGATCATAACTTGACTTACGAGTATCTAATTGACTCATTATAAAATGTGTTGGAAATATAAAAGGAAAAACTACAAGTTTTATGTTGAAGTAAAAATCCATTTTGGAGTGAAGAGGAGTCAAATTATTAGTTTTCGTTCCATACTTATTAAAATAATTAGTTCTTGGGCCAAATTTATATTTTTTAGGATCGGGTGTTTTTAAAGCCCAATTTCCTTGTATTA